GAGGTTTGTCGGATGATAATAGCTAACCTCTATTTCAGAATGGAAACTAGTAAACTCAATGCTCTAAGGTGCATCAGTTTTGCGAACTTTTCAGCTTGTTTTTATCATTTATTTGTCAATTAAAATCTTGATTGTTGAATTCCTTTTGGCGCCGTTTATTCCATACCTGTTAAAATTGCTGTAAAGAGGTAAAATTATTGTAGAACATATATCTCTTGGTTAGTAAATCACACGGGAATCATCATTTTGGTGCAGACCACAAAAATATGTCGATTTGGCACTTCATTCATTAGCTTTCTTGCAGGAGTTGAAGGAAAGAATTGAAAGAGTGAAGGAAAAAGGCAGTGGAGACGGTGTCTTCAGATCAGATACTGAATTTAGCGAAGAGATAATGGACATACGCAAAGACTTTGTTGCCATTCATGGGGAAATGGTTCTTCTGAAAAATTATAGCTCTCTTAATTTTGCTGGTAAAGAAGCTGCTTCGTTATTGTTTTTCTATGATTATTTATTACAGGTTGCACCTGGGAATGGCGGTTCCCGGGTTTTTTCTGAAAATATAGCTTCATATACCTTGATTTTCTTTGTATTAAAAGCATGTTAGTCTAAGCTTAAAAGAAAGTAGAAATTGCATTTTTTTTTTTGGTTTCCTTACATGCTTCGATTTGCTTAATTTTTCTTAGTTTTAAGCAAATAAAATTCTCTTAGCATACTGTGAAAAAGTTGACTTTGCTTATTTACAGCTTTGGCCAATAAAAGATTTATTTATTCTAAAACTTGTTACTTGTGAGTTATGTTTTAATCTTAGCAAACATGCTCTTACTTGCCCAATTTGTGAACTCTGAAATATATTTTGCACATTTGATTAGGTCTTCTTAAGATTTTGAAGAAATATGATAAAAGAACCAGGGGATTATTACGCCTTCCTTATACACAGCTTGCTGTTCATCAGCCTTTCTTCACCACTGAACCCCTCACTCGATTAGTCCACGAGTGCGAGGAAAATCTCGAGCTCCTCTTCCCGCAAGAAGCTGAGGTTGTTGAGTCGACTTCCATTGCACAAGATAAGACGGACATAATTCCTAGGAGCCCTTCAAGTGATTGCCTCGAGACAACCTTGTCGCTTGGGGAGGAAACCGTAGAAATATACCGGAGCACCCTTGCAGCAATCAGAGCTATAAAGAGCCTTAAAAAGGCGAGCTCTACTTATAATCCATTATCGTTTTCAACTCTTTTTGGAAGCGTGGGTAATGACATTACAGGTGCTGTAACGGCTGAAAACTCGCCCTCTGATTCTTTTGCGACCTTGCAAAACCGGGACGAAACGAATGAAGACGATGCTGCCAACGCTTCCAAATAGAGATATAACTTTTTGGTTATGAATTGGCCTTGGCCTTGGCCTTTCCAATGAAATATTTTGTTCATGATTTGCAATAAGCTTCCAACTAAATGTAGTGTAGTGCAGGATTGAAGTGTGATTACATTTTTGTTGGATGTAAATGTGTGAAACATATTTCTTTGTTCTAATTTATATTTAAATTATTTTACAATGTTGACATTGTGAAGTTGGGCTATATTTACAGGGCATTGAGATTTGTAATTTATCTTCAGACACTTCAAATATTTGGCATCTTCGTGCATGTTTATCAGCAGGCGAACAAATATGCATTTAAGAAATACTGTCCCATACAGAGTAATCCATTACCACGTAAAAGCATAAAACTTCACACATCCATAAAACCAAATACACTGAAAAGAACACGTTCCAAGGATAATACACTTATACACCTGCCTTTATTTAGTAGATTAATATGGCAGGAATTCTCTTCACAGGGCCACAAACGTTCAGCTTAATCATCAGAGTGCTTGCGGTGGTGGTGATGGTGATGGTGGTGGTGGTGCTTGTGGCGGCGCTTCTCCTCATCCTCCTCGTCAGAGTTTTCACCACCCTGCAAATGGCAGTTGTCAATATCAGAAAATGAAAAGTTCAGCATCGTAATTAAAGAAATAATCCAGTATTCAGTCTCTTATGTACTCAAACTCATGTTAGCAAGGCTAAAATAAATAAACAAAACCTTAAAAGAGTACTCTTTTCTTGTGGGCTAATGCATCATTACGCACACTTTCTCCCCAACCATTTTAGAACTGAACGCACTTTCAAAATCAGATTCATCAACAGATACATGGACATCAATTTCATTTATCCAAAAAAAAAAATCCCAATCGTGCCAAACCAACATGAGATGTTATCTGATTTATTTAAGCTAGACTACAATTACAAACCCAGATATTTATAGCATTGGATTTGGTCGTGTTTGCATATTATATTTTAAGCAATCGATTAAATTATGCGTGAAGGAGATATGCTTACATATTTCTTGCTGGGCTTCCTGTATTCCTCCTCAGACCTCCCATACTTCTCCTCTCCATACTCAGTCCTTTCGGACTTCCCACCATACCCATAACCCCCACCACCTTCCTCTTCTCCATGGCTAGTCTTCCTTCCATACCCACCTGCTCCATACTCAGACTCCGTCTTCAGCACATAGCCGGACCCATATTCAGAACTTGGCTCCTCGTACTCACTCTTCCTCCCATAAACCACAGGTTCACTATATTCCGACCCGGGTCTTCTGCCGTAACCGGATCCGTACTCCGAAGGGGGTTCCTCGTAATCACTCTTTCTAACATACCCTGATCCGTATTCAGAGGTGGGTTCCTCGAACTGTGGTTTCCTCCCATGGCCGGATCCGTATTCAGAACTGGGTACCTCGTATTTTGGCTCCCGCCCATACCCGGATCCATACTCGGAAAATGGCTCCTCGTACTGCGGTTTCCTACCATAACCAGATACATATTCAGAACCTGGTGCCTGGTACTCTGGTTTTCGACCAAACTCCAACCCGGGCCTCTCGTAAGTGTAACCATATTCAGGTCTTCCAGATCCGAACCCTCCAGGTGGACCACCACCATACTCGCTCCCTCCACCAGGCTGAAACCCATAATTAGGCCTGGGCCCATCATACCCATATCCAACCGGCGGTGGCGCTCCAGCATACACAGGCGGCGCAGGTCGGGGCTTACAACGTACATAGCTCTTGTACTCATTCTCCAGAGCCTCATTAGCATAGGCGGATGGTTCAGCATAGGAGGTGTACTGAAGACGATCATAGTCAAACTCGTCGGAACCAGAGGTGTTGGGATAGCATGTCTCCTCCGACGGCGGAAGTGAGCGGCCGTAAGTCAATGCGATTTCATACCCTCCACCGTACACGGAGGGGTCAAACTTGTCGAAGTCGTCGAGCGCATCGCCAGCGCCGTGGTATCCCTTTGGAAAGTACGACATGATAGAATAGCGCTTCTTTGATTTGGTGGCGGCTTTCAACTAATCAGTGAATTGTGTGTTATCTGTAGCGTGTGCACTAGATTATTTAACTTTTGATGTTACGAGAATGCCCTTGTATTTGACAGACTCGAGGGTAGATGAGAAGGACATTTGGAAGTAATTACCAAGGGAAAAGTCATTTGTACACCATCTTTGATATCTCCTAGTGGACAAAATTTAACTGGTTTAAAAATTATTTATTTTTTAAACTGTCCAATAATATAGTGCCACGTGGCAAAACGATGTACATGTAATATGACCGAATTACTAATTAGTGAATGATGGAGTTAGCCAATATGGTGTTAAGTGGGAGAATACTCTTCTCACAAATGAGCTTGGCTCGCGCTAGAGCGAAAACCTCGTGCAAATTGGCTTGTATACTATCTTGGCCTTGATCATTGCTTTATATGAAGAATAGGAAATTGTTTATTTTTACCTTGCCCTTTACCCTCTGGCGTACATTGTGATGTGGAAAGTGAACTTTTTTGATTTCAAGAAAAAAGAACAAACCTTGGGCCGGGTTTTACAATTCAATAAG